AAAAAAAAAAAGAATTATGACCATACTGTGACTATCTTCTGCCCCCCCACCCCATTTATAGAAATACTAGTAACATTTCCCAAGGAAACTAACATTGTAAAAATGATATACAATCATTATTTACAAAGAAATCCACTCTAAAGACATTTTAAAGTACAGAATTCCTAAAATTAACTTACAATTAGCATTAAGTAGAGAATAGCAGCTAGGATTACAGGGTTAGTGACAGTCTTAAATTAGCATGCTTGGATCTGCTATGTACTAGCTGGATGACCGAGGGCAATTATAGAACTTGTTTGAGTGTGTTTCCTTATGTGTAAAATGTGTTACACATGTGGGATTGAAATTAAGGAAGGAAGAAAAAAATACATTCCAGAAGAAATTACAAAATTCTAATGTTTTACATATAAGAACAGCAAAACTCACCTTCATATAATTTAGGTTCCACAGTACCATGATTTTTCAAGTTTTAAGTTTATGAATAAGAACAAAATGATACAAATTAATAGAATTAAAATTGATACCTGAAGAATCTGGTCTCCAGCAAGGAGCCTTCCATCTCTGGCAATTATCCCATCCCGATAAACTTCCTGGATAACGATGTTAATCAGTGGTGTTTCATTGCCACCCACAATGCTAATTCCTAACTGAATGTAAGGATTAGATCGGTGAATTTCAATCGTGGTGATTTCACCTTCTGGTAAACTAGGTGGCTGTTGTGTGGCTGCGAAGTTAAAAATGAGAAAGAAAAAAGAAAGAAAATAAATGTCTTATATTTTGATGTTCTTCAGGTAAATAAATCATCTTATGTTAATATATGATTAATAACTAACAATACCACTGGATAAGAAAAAGATAGCGACAAAAAATATCTATACGTTAAGATTATCTAAACATTTCCTCTTTCAAAGGTGATCAGTATATAACCAACAAATAGCTACTATGTATCAGATCACTAGGGAAGACACGATGATCTGATAAAGAAATATTAAAAGATAGTCATCTTGTCCTAACTATAAGAGAAAGTCTGAACCATTAACAACTATGAACATGCAAGGCAGTTTAAGGAAAAGACTAACTCTGTGGTATGTAATCACCATAGATGCTGAGAGAGTAATCACATCACCTCTAAGAGGTGGGTGTTGAGCCTTGGGAGATGAAAAAAGTGATAGCTGTGGCAGGGAAAATTGGAAATGTTTAGTAAAATTTGAAATTTTTAAGGGAAAATATTTTAAGGGAAAAATTTTTAAGGAAATATTTAAAAGTAAATACCAAGGGCCAACTACGAGATATGCCCAATATCTAGGACTACAGGCTTTGTGTTTGCTCCTAGTGGGTTGTACAGTCAGAGTTGTGGCTGACAGCAGAGTGCAGTAGTCACAAGTGTGGCCTCAGAGACAGATATCCAGCCATTTCTTGGCAGTGTGAGCTTGACCAATTAATCTCTCAAGACTCAATTTTCTCACCATTAAAAAAAAATCCCTTAATACTGTAACAAGCACTTAATCAGTTAATTTATGTGAAGTGCTTGGCACAGGGCCTGACACAGAGTAAGCACTTAATCCAAGGTATTATTTTTGTCATTCTTAATGTTACTGATTTCTTAGACAAGAAGCAACAAACTCTGAACATAGGAGCAAACAAGAAGAAGCTGTTAATGACTATCGAATTCATGAACTACAACAGAAGAGGGTGGGAGCATCTTCCTCCAGGGTAAAGGTCATGTTCTGTTTCTAAAATGCCAATTGTTCAAATTATAGACTTAGGGTGATTATACCCTATCTCAATAAAATTATTTCTTTTAAGAGGAAAAAAATGCATGTTGAAAAAACTGGAGGGAGAAGTAGGAAGGAAGTAAATGTCTGATTTGAAAACATAAAAAGAAAGGTGACTAGCACATACTATCTGCAATGGTGCTCTCCTCGAAGGCAGGGTTGTCCAGGCCAGGCTCCTCAGTCCATACAGGAAGAGAGGCAGAGGTCAAGTTCCGTTCGGCGGGCACTGTGCCTGTCCCTGAGCAGTCCGTTTCGGGTGATAGGGTACTTGGGAGATCTATTACAGTGGTTCCATTTTCATTCTCAATCTCTGTCTGAGTTTTACTGGTTTTCCTTCTCTCTAAGGCAATTCTCTGATGAGAAGCTCCAGGACATCTAGAAAGAGAATATCAGGTGGTTTCCAGATTATTTGAAAGAGGGAACAAAGTGATTAACGGCTCGTACCACAACAAAAGAATGGCAGTGGCTTCTGTTGCATAAAGCACCTAGAGGTGCCCATATGGGTACATAATCCCACTTGAAGTAAGTTCTTACCACTCCACATAGCGAATTTAAAACAAGGCATCAGCATAAACAATGGTTTGGTATATATCTCAAAGAATGTTTCAATAAAAATTTGAGCACATATTAGTGCCAGAAACATATACAACAGTATAGTATACGGTATAGTTGTCTCAATATTGCAAGAATTATTCTGAAATTCTGAGTACAACCCTTTCTACAGGTTTACTGACTTAAGCACAGGACTGGAAATCATATTCTTCTTCCTCAATAAGCCCTTAAGTACTTAGACCTTAATGCCCATATGCCTCTGCATTCACACGGCCGATGTCACACATTTACTCATTAATGATAGCAAAACATTTGAAGGTTTACACTTTGTAGGAAAACACAGCAAAGGCCCAAATAACTTTACTAGTATAATAGACATGGAAGGAAATAAAGAAAACATATCTCCTAGTTTGTAAAATTAGAATTGCAGTAGTGGAATTATAGTTATGCTATCTAAGTTAAACATATATTCCAAGTACTTGGGAAACTTACATAAGCACTAAGAAATAAGAACTATTACCTTGCTTGATTTTATTTATTTAAGCAAACAAAAGTGCACAAAGGTGCTTGTTTAAACATTTAAATAAAGTTTTACACAGATATTAGAAGTGTTTTTTCCATCTGACCCGTTTACTGGAGAACATGACTAATACCCAGTTTGAAGAGTGGGAGAAGGAAAGGGGATTAGTGGAGAGCTAGATGCACATCCCTACAGCCCAACATGACTCAGACACCATGTATTTTCATATTGGGGTAAGCAGGGACATAATTTTATGTCTAGGGTCATAGATCTTCATTCAATGACAATATTGTTTAAAAATGTAGCATTTTGATAAAAATTAAGTATAGGATTAAATTAAATTAAAATGGAAAGCTGTCTCTTAAGTATTAAGAAATAAAATTTCCCTCATGAACTAAAGATTTAAGTACTGGATTTCAAGTTCTTGAAAAGAATCATTAGGAAGTTTTTACTCAACTTTCTCCCACTAGTTATTTTCTATTCCCCTCATTAAGAAGATGACTGACTTTCACTACTGCACTGCTGTGCAGCACTCTAGGGAATGTTCCTACAAGGACTTGACAAATAAGTTTGAAAATTGTATCACTGAAAAACTATTTTTGTAAGTAGATTTAATTAGAAATGCATTTAAAAATATTTTCTTCAATAAAAAATTGAGACAAAACTGGATCATAAAAAATATTTGTGACTAAACAGGTAAACATTTAAGTTCCAAAATGTATATCATACACAAATATATACATGGGCAATAGCTAGTCTTCAATGAAAACATGGACTAGGAAAGGGAAATACAAACAATGTGAACACTGGGAATTAACTTAGCTAACACACAAAAAACTCTTACAAACTCAATAACTACACAGCCTATCTTATTGTTGTTAAAAATGCAAAATAAATTTTAAAAAGAAAATCTAAAGTTGTTAGAGAGATAAAGAAACAAGTATACTTAAATTCCCAATGGGGCGGCAAATTGCTAATAGGAACTAAATAAAGATACTTTAAAATATGTGAAAATATGAAAGAGTGATCTTAGCCAGCACTGGAGAAGGCTACAGAGAGAACCTTTGAGAATACACATCCTATATAATAAAAGCCTAATATGCAAATTGGCCGAATGGCGGAATGACCAGTCACTATGACGCGCACTGACCACCAGGGGGTAGACACTCAATGCAGGAGCTGCCCTCAACCCGCATGCCCCAGGCCAGCCAAGGTGGGTGCCAGCGGGGACCCCCATATCATCCTGCTGGTAGCCCGTAGAGGGAGGCAACAGGTGGCGGCAGGGGGCGGAGCCAGCCGGAGAGTGGGCAGTGGCAGGAGGTGGGGCCAGGTGGCAAGTGGGCTGGTGCCACCCCCCCTATTGCCCCGCTGGTTGCCCTGCAGAGGGAGGTGACCAATGGCAGCAGTGGGGTGATCAGGGGTTGGGGCCAGTTGGTGAGTGGGTCAGCTCTGCCCCCCAATCGCCCTCAAGGTGGTGCAAGCAGGGGATGGGGCCGGCAAGCAGGCAGTGCCAGGCTGGCCAAGGCAGGTGCCAGCAGGCCCCCCCACCCATCCCCACCCCAATCACCCTGCCGGTTAACCCACATATTAGCCTTGACCGCCGGCCAGGCCTAGGGGCCCTACCTGTGCACAAATTTCATGCACTGGACCTCTAGTACTTAAATAAGATGGAACAGATGAGTAGATTGAGAAAGAACACCTAGACAAGAAGAGACAAGGAAAGCAAGACTTCAAAGTACGTAACCAAGGAAGACAAGAGTGTCACCAAAGAAAAAGTAGCCAATAACACAAATGCCACACAAGGGACAAATAAGATAAAGATCAAAAAGCATTAGTTTGATTAAGCATTAAAAAAGTCATGGTGACCTCAGAAAGAATACTGATGCTGAGGGCAAAAGTCCAAACTATAATGCCAGCATTTCTGCTACCTTAATACAAGCATCTACAAAAATGTAGCACTAAGAATTACAGGGCTTAAGTAAGAGAAATGAGAAAGACCATGCAAAATCTGTACACCTGGGAATTGGAATGGCTGCTAATGGGGATGAGATTTCTTTTTGGAGTGTTGAAAATGGTTTAAAAATTTGTAATGATGACTGCATACTTCTGTGAATATACTAAAAACTACTAACGTGTACACTTTAAAAATAGATTGAGTTTTATGATATGTACCTTCCTTCCTAGGGAGGGCGCTCTATTGCAGGTATGTTTTTTAAGTTTTTAAAATAAAATCAAAAAGCTCTTACAGCAACCAGAGCCAAACTGAGGAACTTCTTTTTCCTGCTG